ACGGCCCGGGCTGGCTGGAGCGCTGACTCGGGGTCAGCTGCAGAGCCGTGGGGCGGGACCCTTGCTCACTGACCGGCAGGGGACAGAAGCGAGTCACTGACACCTTATCATCTGTACAATGGGCCCGGAGTCAGGCCATCTCAGGCTGGAGGGAGCCACAGTCATGTTTGTGTTGGTGGCACTGGGGCGGGAGCAGAGCTCCCTAGAACCCCGTCCTGCCTCTGAGACTCCTGGCTCTGGTCTTTCTGCCATCAGAGCCGGGCGTCTGCGCGGTTCTAGTGAATACTGAGGCCAGACAGTAAAGGCAGGCTTGAGCCTCCGGGGTGCCAGTGGCTCCCCAGCGCTTCAGTGAGTGGCCAGTGATGGTGGGCAGTCAGGAAGGGCTGGCTGACAGAGGAGCTCTGAGCTGGAGCCTATAGGGCAGACGCAGCAGGAGGGGAGAGACTTAGGGCCAAGGGGCAAGCAGGCCCCTGCCACAGGTGAGTGAGGCCCCCCATCCTCCTTTGTGCTGAGTTTTCAGAGTTTACAGCCCTAACCCTAACCCTGGCCTCACTGTCTCTGGGGCACATGGTACCAAGTGGGCTGGAACTGGGGCTGGGGCAGGAGAGAAGAGGCCTTAGCAGGAGCTGTTGGCAACACCTGGGGCTGGGAGGAATGAAAATCGCGGAGGGAGGGACTTTCCCCCTTCCCATGTTCTTTTCTTTGCCCTTTCCTCACACCCCTTGGTGGGGGTGTGTGTCCCCAGGAGCCTCAGCCTAAAGGGTAGGTATGAAATAGACCAAAGGTCAATAGGGGCCATGGTGCCAGGACCAGGGGGTGCCTTGGTCCTCAGCGGGAGACTGGCAGGGTCCAACTACTGCAGGGACTGAATGGAAACGACCCCATTGGATGTCCTGAGCCCTGGAAGAGCCCCTCCCAGTCTCACAGAACAAAGGAAAGGGGACAGGTCTTTTCAAGGTCATGTCATGCGCCCAAAAGGCGACCCTGCCCCTCTCATGGGGGGGGGGGGTGGGCAGGTGGCAAGGGTTCTTGTCACAGCTCTGTCCCCTCCCCATCAGGAGAACATAATGAAATCCAACATTGACAAGAAGTTCTCCGCACACTATGATGCCGTGGAGGCAGAGCTCAAGTCAAGCACCGTGGGTGAGCAGGGCACATTGGCCTCCTCTCCTGGGCCTAGGGGCTGCTCCTTCGTTAGCCCTGGTGGACAGGTCTTCCCCCTCATCTCGCTGCACAGGTCTTGTGACCCTGAATGACATGAAGGCCAAACAAGAGGCATTGGTGAAGGAGCGGGAGAAGCAGCTGGCCAAGAAGGAGCAGTCGAAGGAGCTGCAGCTGGGGGGACTCCCCCCCCCCCCAGTGCTCGGGGGCCGGGGCTGTGTGCCAGGCTGTTCCTGCACCGTGGCGGGGTGGGGGCTGTCCTGCTTTGGGAACAGGAGAAACATCCGATTTGCCTTTCTCTCTACACCCCTTGGAGCCCCACCAGTCTCCTCAGCCGTGTGGTTTGTCTTCCTCTTTCTGCCTCTCACCCTCCCAGGGACCTGAACAACCTGCCTTTGCTCATTCCTCTCTGTCCTGTGACCCCCATGTCCTTCTGTCCCAACTGGGTCATGATCTGAGACCTCCCTATGAGCTTCCAGTGACCCAGGGCACTTCAGTCCTTCTAGGGTGCAGGGGAGCCTCAGCCTGAGCACACACGTGGCTCTGGGTCACGGAAGGGGCCACGAGTAGCAGTGTGGTGTGCGATAGCGGCCATTGCACCTTGGTAGGAAGTTGGAGAAGCTGCGTGAGAAGGAGCGGAAGAAGGAAGCCAAGCGGAAGATCTCCAGCCTGTCTTTCACCCTTGAGGAAGAAGAGGAAGGAGGCGAGGAGGAGGAGGAGATGGCCGTGTATGAGGAGGAGCTGGAAAGGGAAGGTGAGGGCAGGCCTGCCCACCAGAACTATCCTGGGTTTCTGGCTATAGGAGGAAAAAGCGTGGCCATGGCTCAGCTTCACTCATGCTCCCAAACCTCACATGGGGCAAGAGAAGGCAGGGAGTCCAGGCTGCCACGTGCAGTGAGGTAGGGGCTCACTGGCCTGCTGGGCAGGCACCTCCAGTGCCAGAGGCTGTGAGAACAAGTCTGGCACCAGTCAAGAAGGCTCCAGGGGGCCAGCAGGTGACGTGGAAGTAGACAGCTGGATCCCACATGGCCAATGGCATGGTTTGAGTTCCAGACCCGACGACTTGAAAAACACACCAAGCGCATGTGTGTGCATGCCTAGAACCCTGACAGGAGAATGGAGAAGAGATTGCAGTGTGGCCATCCCTCTTGGGGGTGCTTTCTCACTTTCCCTCTGTCTGTCTCTGTCTCTCTGGCAACCACATGTACCCTATAGCAAAAGTAATGTGCTTTTCAGCAGTGCCATATGGAATAGACCGAGGAGGGAGGAGGGATCATGGGCCCAGCTGGCCAGCCGGGCTTCCTGTGAAGTGGAGGTACCCGCGTGTGTGCTGCCCAAGGCTAGGCCCTGGTCACGTGACTCATGTGACTTGGGTGCTGAGTTGTTAGTTCTGTTCAGTGTAACTTTACACAGCCGTGGAAAGAGAGTGGCTGCTGGCTGGCCACTGTAGGCCTCAGGGACAACAGCAGGGCTTGGGAGTGAGGCCAAAGCCAGCCCAGCACTCCCGTGTCCTGCATACCTGCTCTTCCTGGCTGGGGGCACATGAGTCATTGTGTGTGCAGGACACTTGGGCCAGGCCAGAGGTCAGGAGAGGTGTCATGTAGCAGGACCCTTGAGGGGAGTTTCATTAGCCAGAGAGGAGAACTTGAAGCAGGACGTGGCGGCACGCCTGAGCTGTTGTGGAAGCTGATGTGCAGCAATGGTGCCGCAGGCTGGGTGTGATGGATTTGAGGGCAGTGGCCCGGCTGGCAGGAGCAGAGACCTGCCAGTTGCCTTGTGACTTGACGTTGTGTGCACCAGTAGCTACGGTAAAGTTTTTCTGTTTAGAGCTCTCCTTGTGGCCACAATGGGTGAGAACCTTGTGCCTGCTGCCCCCAGAGCCGAGGTCCTAGATTGGGCTTGCCTTCTGGGTCAGCAGTTCTCAATGCATGCCCAGGGACCCGGAGTCTGTGCGGCCAGAACCATTTTTGTGGCCAAGATGTCCTCTGCCTCCTTTTGCTGCAGAGGTCACCACCAAGAAGAGGAAGCTGGGAAAGAACCCGGATGTGGACACCAGCTTCTTGCCTGACCGAGACCGTGAGGTAAAGGCCACCCGACCTTACCCTGATGACTCTGGCCTTGCTGGAGGCTCCCTCTCAGAGAACGGGCAGCTCTAGGCTACACTCCTTTGTCCATTTCCTCTCCCAGGAGGAGGAGAACCGGCTCCGGGAAGAGCTTCGGCAGGAGTGGGAGGCCAAGCAGGAGAAGATCAAGAGTGAGCACTGGTTTAAGGGACCCTGAGGAGCTCTTGGGGGGCAGGGCTGCCTGGGTCTGGAGGACCAAGAGGCACCTCTGCTTCACAGGCGAGGAGATAGAGATCACCTTCAGTTACTGGGATGGCTCTGGGCACCGGCGCACTGTCAAGGTGGGTTCAGTGGGAACGAACTGACAGCCCTGCCTGTGGGCACCTCTGGTGGTGCTGAGCATGGCAGGGGAGAGGACCCGGCCCATGTGGCAGTGCTGGCTGCCCTGAGCCCCTCTCTAGTTTCTGTCTTCCCTTCCCCATCCCCCCGCTGCACCTGCAGATGAAAAAGGGCAATACAATGCAGCAGTTCCTGCAGAAGGCACTCGAGATCCTGCGCAAAGACTTCAGTGAGCTCAGGTAAAGTGCCCGGGAGGAGGGTGCCCCTGGGGAGCAAGAGGCTCCCAGGAGAGGAAGGTCATGCTCTTCTTCATTGCCTCTGTGGAGAAGTGAAGGACAGTGGGGGAGTCATCCCGGCATACCACTGGGGGCCCCTGGGAGCAGTGTGGCCACCACATCCAGCCTGTCACTGGCAGAGGAGGCTGTCAGCCCAACCCAGGGCCCCATGCCCTCCTTCTCTCCCCCAGGTCAGCAGGGGTGGAGCAGCTCATGTACATCAAGGAGGACTTAATCATCCCCCATGTAAGTCTCAGCCTGCTCCACTCCAGGCTTGGGCTTGGGCTTGGGCTTGGGCTTGGGCTTGTGGGTCCAGCCTGTGGGCCAGGGTGGGAGAGGCTGAGATGGGCCACCGAGATGTTGCTTCCCTGCCCTGGGTTCCTAGCACCACAGCTTCTACGACTTCATCGTCACCAAGGCGCGAGGGAAGAGTGGTGAGTGTGCCCGACCCAGCCCTGCTCCCTAGGATCAGGCCCCTATGTTCCCTCCGGGGCAGCAGGTGACATTGGGAGGTCTGCTGCTGCCCTGCAGGACCACTCTTTAACTTCGACGTTCATGACGACGTGCGGCTGCTCAGTGATGCCACCGTGGAGAAGGATGAGGTACAGTGGTGCTGGGGGCACTGGGCCGGGGTGGGAGGAGCAGGAGAATAGGGCAGGTGGGCCGTGAGCAGCAGTGCCTGGGCCATCTCCCTTCCTCAGTCACACGCGGGCAAGGTGGTGCTGAGGAGCTGGTATGAGAAGAACAAGCACATCTTTCCTGCCAGCCGTTGGGAGCCCTACGACCCCGAGAAGAAGTGGGACAAGTACACGGTGAGGGCTGGCAGTACATGGTGGGGTGGGGGCCTCATGCCAGCCAGCCAGCTTATCTATCCACTTCCCTTCCCTGTGCCTTCTCAACATCACACCAGATCCGGTGAGCCAGTGTCCCAGAGGTGGCGTGCCCTCAGCTCCCTCAGATCCCCTGACACATCCACATTTCTCCAGGACTCCAGGCATCCTGGCTCTTTGAGCTCAGTTGAAGGGTGCACAGGGAGCACAGTTGCTGCTCATCCCTGCCCTGGCGCTGTCATTTACTGCTTTCTTGTTTTACAATAAAGAAATGCATATGTCAGAATACCTGCATTGTAAGAAAGTATATTTGTTTCAAAACACATTTTACTGTGATGAGATTCACTTAACGTGAAATTCATTTTCCCTGTGGGAAAAATATAAACAGAAACACTCCTGGGACCAGCAGGTGGTGTGGTGGTTAAGGCACTGGACTCCCACATGGCTGACCACAGTTCAAGTCCCAGACCTGGTGGCTTGCTTTCTCACTTTGCTCGCTCTCTCTCTCTCTGTCTCTCTCGGATCAAATTAAAATGAATGAATGAATGAATAAGTAATTCTTAAAACAAAAAAAGAAACACTCCCAAAGTGTGGATGCACTTAGGAGTTTCTTTCACACTTTCCTGTCCACTAACTTAAGAAAAATACTGCATAGAATCAAAGTGTGGAAATAATAACTAACAGAACACCTAAGCAAGAAGTATATGCTCTGCATTTTAAAAAGTAATCCATGGGGACCAGCAGTTAACGTAATGGCTATGTCTCTGGACTCCCATGTAGTCGACCACGGTTCGAGTCTCGGACCCGGTGACTTAAAACTCATGCTGGGTGTATGTGCGTGGGTGCCCAAGCTCCCGAGAGGACCGAGAGGAGAATGAAGGAGACGGGAATGCAGCGTGGCCATCCCCCCTAGGGGGTTATTTCTCGCTTTCTGTCTCTGTCTGGCGAGCACATGCGCCCTATAGCGAAAACCTCTAAAAAAAAAAACAAAAAAAAACGTAATCTATAGGACCAGCAGATGGTATAGTAGCCAAGGTTCTGAATTCACACCTGGTGTATGAGCATACCCAAAGTCCCAAGAGGAGAATAGACAAGAAAGGATTGAGGTGTGGCCATCCCCCCCAGGTGGGACTCAGGGTGATTTCTCATTTTCCTTCTGTCCCTCTGAGGAGCACTTGCACCCTCTGGCAAAAAAAAAATTAAAAAAGAAAAAGAAAAAGTAATCCAAACAAAGTAATTTGAAGCATTTCCCTGATTTAGAAGTCTTAAAATGTAAGCTCATGTCTTATTTAACTGTTTTCCCTACTTCTTACAAATTCTTTACAATTTCTCTTGGGGGCTGGATAGTAGTACAGTGGTATGTGATACCCTGAAAGGCTGACCCCCAGAGGAGGCCTCCCCAAGTAAACCAGGTGCACACATGCCCACAACTCTGGGCTGGCTACAGAAGGTAGTGGATCGCAATAGCAAGACCTTGTTGGGAATGCCTATCTCTGTCTCTCCTGTTTGCTTGTGAAAGAAAGAAAGAAACTTTAAAAAAGTCATGTTGGTTTCCAAATTGGCTATACACTAAAAACACTTTCTTTTCCTTTTTAGTTTTTTTTTTTAAAGGTTTTTTTTTTTTTTGCTGTAGGGCGTTTGCGCTCACAGGAGAGACAGACATAAAGCGAGAAATCATCCTCCTCCCTCCCGGGGGGATGGCCACATTACAATCCCTCCTTCTCCATTCTCCTCTCAGTATTTTGGGCATGCACACACATGTGCCCAGAGTGTTTTTCAAGCTGCTGGATCTGGGACTCAAACCATGCAGTTGGTCATGTGGGATCCAGCCACCTTAGCTACCACACCATCAGCTGGCCCAAAACGTCTATCTTAATGCTACACTTGAATAACATGGGATAGTTAAACATGTAGGTCTTGTATTTTGAGAGGAATTAGGAATTGATAGATACCATAGGAGGTAAGTTTGGATATAAGCTTAGCAAAAAGCAAATAACTTTTCATATCTATATGTTGTTACCCTTTTTTTTAAAGAGCGATATTTGCTATAGGGCAGTGTGCTCACTGGAGAGACAGAGGCAGACAGAAAGCAAGAAATCACTCCCCAGGGGGGATGACCACATCGCAATCCCTTCTCCGGGAGCTTGGGTATGCACGCAAACGTGCCTGGTGTAAGTTTTAAGCCGCCAGATCCAGGATCGAACCACAGTCGACTACGTCGGAGTCCAGCAATGTAACCATTACTCCATCTGCTAGTTCCCTGTCATCCCTTTTTAACTCATTCCTGAAGTTATTCCTACTTGGTTATATAGTTCATTGAATTGGGTCAATGTGGTAACATAATAAATCAGTTATAAAATTTTAAACATCAAGTGAAAAATTTGAAAGGCTGTAATCCTATAAATTCTAGAAACTTGCTCCGTGAGAACTCATCCCAGTTAGATGTGCTGCTGGAGCTTCCGTGGTGGTATCTGCTGTCTTCTAAGAAAAGAGAAAGTCCAAGGTTCCATTCACCCTTGACCCTTCCAGCCATCCAAGTCTGTGTTTAGAACGTGGTCTATGCTGTGCATCCACCTAGTTCCAGGACCTGGGGTGGGACCATCTGGGGCCACTCGGAGGAAAGGAGGGTACAGCAGGGAGGGAGTGGCCGGGCCTGACCTGATGTCTGGCATGTGGGAGACAAGTCTGAGGACCTCAATGGTGCCTGTTGTTGGGCTCCCAGGAGCCATGGAGGGGGCTGCTCCTCTGTGCCAACCCCCTTCCTGCCCTTTCCAAAGCCAGGAGAAGTGCAAGCCTCCCGGGCCAATGGCAGATGGGTTTCAAGGGAGCTGGCTTCAGCCTGCAGCTTCCGGAAAACAAACTCCTTGTAGACCAATCTTCAGTCTTGGCAGGGGAGAACCTGGTTTCTAGAACAGCCAGGTGTTGGAGGAACCCTTCAGAGTCAAAATTAAGGGGGCAGGAGGGCTGGCAGGAATGGAGACCCACCCCCTGCAGCCTGTGAAGGGACAGAAGAGGCAGTGCCATGCCAGGGCCCAAAGGAGCAATCCCTTGTCTTAAACCCGGGGCCAAGCAGAATAGCACAGGTGGGCTGACTTCTTGCAGCTCTCCCACCTGGGTATCTGGCTTCACTCCTGGAGGCTGGCGCTGGCCAGGGATGATGCCGAGGGGCAACTATGCAGACCCCCGAGACCTTGGTCCAGATGAGCATGGAGTGCAGGGACAGCTGGGAGGCTGCCGAAAGAAGCTGCGGAGCTTGCGAGCAGACGCTATTTGACAGGATGGAGAACTGGAGGAAAATGAATTGCTGCATGGCCAGGCCCATCAGGAGGGTTCCCTAGCTCTCTCTTCCCTGCGCACACGTATGACCTCTGACATAACAAAAGGGAAAAACAGAACCAAGGTTACAAGGAGAGCTGTACCTTGCTTGCTCCAGCTTCCTTCTTGCTGAGCGTGCGCATGTGTACGTGTGTAAGCAATGAAGACAGAACCACACGTGAGCAGCCAAGATGAGGCCTTTTTGGCAGGGGAACATTTCAGCTGCCATCCAAATGACAAGAAATAAGTCTACGCAGAGGCACAGGATGTGCAAAGACACCGATGGGCTGCTTGAAGGTGAGCTGGCCCCAATGCCACAGGAGGGGGGGAGGCCAGGGAGGCCAGGGAGGCCAGGTTAGCTGCAGGGGAGGGTGCATGTTACTCTTCTCTCTTTCTTCTTGAGCTACTCAGCAGAGGCCATGTCCTCACATGCTTCATACTTGTTCATACAGCAGCCGGAAGGGAAGGGGGACCAGTGAGGTGCCACTTACAGCTGGGACCTGGCCCACCACTTCCCAGGGCCCTCGACAGAGCTGCTCTAATGCTGTCTTCTAGCTACCCATCTTGCTGCTTGCCTTTCTTACCCAAGGGTTGTGAAATCGTGTCCAAGCCAAGCTCCCAGGACACAGCAGTGATACAGGTGCCCTGAAGGGCTGGAAGCCATGTGGTCTACTGCGGGTTCAAATTCTGGGGTCAGTCTGAAAATTCACTGGACACTGAAGACCTGAGGAGCTGCAGGGCTGAGGAGATTGCGGTGGGATGGGACCATGGCTAGGGTGTCGCTCTCTGTCTCTCTCTCTTGTGACACACTGTCTACTATGAAAGCAAGCAAAACCACACGACATAGCCAAGTAGCCTGCACATCTTCTCACATCTGAGCATGGGGAGCCTCCCCATCTACTTTAAGCCACATAATCCCTACCACAGCTACAGGAAAACTCCCCTCCCTAGGGCCTATCCCAGTGTGCAGCACTACACACCTCACCCACAGGTTGGGTGCTCCACTTCTGCCAGGAGACATAGGCTGAGCTGAGATGGGAGACATGACATCTCAGTGTGGCCTGTCTCAGCCTCCTGAGGACCTAGCCTTACAGGCATTTGCCACCACAGCAGGCTTTTTAGTGTGGGCCAGGAATCAAACCTGGGCCTTACACAAAGCCTCTGCCTACAAAGTAGCCGCATCTATCAGCACATGCTATTGTGGCTGGGCCTTATTATTTTTATTTTATTTTATTTTTTGGAGAGATTTTTTTCCTATAGGGCGCGTGTGCTCGCCAGAAAGACAGAGACAGAGAGACAGAAAGCGAGAAATCACCCCCCCCGGGGGGGATGGCCACACCGCAATCCCTTCTCCTCCTTTCTCCTCTCAGGATCTTGGGCATGCACGCACACATGCCCAGCGTGAGTTTAAGCCATCAGGTCCAGGACTCGAATTGTGGTTGGCTACATGGGAATTCAGCGACATAGCCATTACGCTAACTGCTGGTCCTAGGCCTTATTATTTTTAATATATATGTTTATTTTTTTCAACTGAGAAAAAATTC